AGAAAAACCTCTCCAGGGCCCAGGACTCCAGTTACCACCACACACCAACCTCAAGAATTGGTGGAGTCAGCAGGATGCGGACGGATGGAGGAAGGAGAAGAGATTCTTGTTTTCCCAGTTTCTTTGATGACTTGTGCCAGTCACTGCAGATGAAACACACAGGTATCAGCAGAGCCCATGGCCAGGGGCCTCCCTTCCTTCCTCATAGCCAGACACAAGCCCAAGCCTGAGCTGGGCTTGGCACTGCCCTGGCCACACAAGATTGAAGTGCACCTATCAGGTCAGAGTGAGTGGCCTCTGCCATGCTTCTGGGATTGGGCGCCATGCTGGGCTTATTCACACCGCCCAAATACACACTGTTACCTACCTGACGAGACCCTGTACCTAGTCCCAGGTGTGCAGATGCAGGGTCTTGGCAGACACCCTCTTTACCCTATCAGATAGCAAGTGAGCCAGAGGATACACGTACAGCAGCTGTAAGCTGGGACACTTGCTATGGAGAAGACAGGAGGAAAAGTCAGAGCAGACCTCCCTAGGAGGTGGGGACAGCAAAGAAGATTGAATCTGGTCTTTGTCCCTAGCACCTGGCACAGAACTGCAATCTCTTTGCTGTGCTGATAGTGACTCCTACAACCCCCAAGATAGCTTCGGAGGGGGCTGGTCACCAGAAGGACCAAGAATGTGAGCAGAGGGTGAGAACCTTGACCAGCTGACCTCTCCAAGGAGGCAAGGAAGACTGGAGACTGAGATCCTTCACCTGGCCAATGACATAATCAACCACGTCCATGTAATAAAGCCCCAGTAAAAAGTCTGGAGTAGCTCCCCGGTTGGTGAACACAGTGATATTCTGGGAGGCTGACGGGCCCTGGCTCCCTAGATAAGGCCTAGCTGAGCCTTAGCTGGAGACACAGCTCCCTCGTGCTGCCTTGGACATGGAGCCTCTGCTCTGACCTGCAGCTTGGAGGCAGTTCAGCCTGCTGTCTTCCCACAGTCTGGGCTGCTGCTGCAGGTGCCTCTCTGACAGAGTCCAGGCAGTCTCCTGACTCTGCTCTAGACTGGAGATTGGAGGCCTGGCTCACTCATACTGGACCTCAAGCAACCCCCTCTCTGAGCTTCTTTTCTCAGAGTGGGGTTGACACCCTGCTCACACCCTGATCTCAAGCCTCCAACCTCCAGAACTGTGAGACAAAAGTGTCTGTTGTTTAAGTCCCCAACTTGTGGCATTTTGTTACAGCAGCCCAAGCTAAGACAGTGACACAAACTGGCAAACTACTAACTATTAAATCTAGGGTCTGAATCTAGACATGTTCCTCTACTGATGTAAATTTTGACAAATTAGAAAATACAAAAGCAAAAACTACCTACTCTCTCTCTCTTTTTTGCTTTTGTATTTCCTTATACAAAAGGAATACAATATAAGGAACAAGTACCTTATATTGAACAAAATTTTTTTAATTTTAAGATTCTTAAAAAAGATACATATAGAATGGAAGGGGGCATTTCTGGCACCAAACTCCCCACCCTCTGGACCATGGCTGGTCCATGTAGTGAGAATCTCCTGGGATGTATTTATCATTCCTCAAACAATCCTGCAAAGAATGGGGTGTCAGCTGCTCTCTGCAAAAGAGGCTCTGAGATGTGCATGTACGTGGGCTGAACACCTCAGAGTGGTTCACATCCGTCTGCCAGCCCCTCCCCGCTCCCAGCCTCAGGCTCCCCGGCTCTGGAAGGCCCAAGGAAGGGCAGGAGGAAGCCACCCACCTGTCTCTCTCTAGGAGCATTGGGGGCAGCTCACACTGGGCACCCCATGGTAGGTCCTTCCTGTCATCTGGCTGGTCCTGGCTAGACTCTTCCAGTGAGGGAGATAGGTTCAGAATAGAGCCGTCCTGGGACCAGATAGAGGAGCTAAGTTAGGCCAACAAGAAAGTGGGCAAGCTGTCACCAAGCAGATGGCCACTGCAGAGTCACAGGAAGGTCTGCTCCGTCCCTGCCACTACCACAGGAGGACATCCCCAGTATGGGAGGCCAGCAAGTCAGCTCTGTCCCTGTCCACCATCATGGGGACAGACAGCAGGAAGGAGGCCCCCTGGACCATCAGCATAGCCCTGACCTTGAGCAAAACTGGAGCACAGGGGAGACACCTGTTGTCAGAACACCTCAAAAGCCCATAGTCCTCAAAAGGTTAAACAAAGAATTACTGTATGAGCCAGCAGCTCCACTGTGGGTACACACCTAGTCCCCAGAGGGATGGAAAGCAGGGCCTCAAAGAAGTACCTGCACACCCACGCTCATGGAAGCTTTCCTCACAGCAGCTGAGAGGCAGAAGCAACCCAGGTGTCCACTGATCGGTCATGGATAAACAGAACATGGTCCATCCACACTGTGGAATATTACTCAGCCTTAAAAGAGAAGGAAATCCTGACTCCCGCTACAACGTAAATGAACAATGAGGACATCTTGCTGAGTGAAATCGGCCAGTCAAAAGAACAAACCGTGCACGATTCCACTCACAAAGACCCAGAGCCACCAGACTCAGAGACAGAAGGAGCATGGTGGGTGACAGGGTGGGGATGATGAAAGAATTCTGAGTGTGAAAGTTCTGTGAGGCTCGGCTCCTGTGGCTCAGGCGCCAGCCACATACACCTAAGGTGGTGGGTTGGAATCCAGCCCGGGCCCGCCAAACAACAATAATGGCTGCAACCAAAAAAATAGCCAGGCATTGTGGTGGACGCCTGTGGTCCCAGCTACTTGGGAGGCTGAGGCAGGAGACTCGCTTGAGCCCAGGAGTTGGAGGTTGCTGTGAGCAGTGAAGCCACGGCACTCTACCCAGGGGGACAGCTTGAGGCTCTGTCTCAAAAAAAAAAAAAAAGTTAGTTCTGTGGATTGATGATGGTGACAATTGCACAACAAGGTGAACGTGAACTGCACACTTCACAATGGAGGAGGAGGAGAAGATTCCAGTGGGGGAGCTACCGCTCTGCCCCAACCTGCACACGCCCCTGCCAGGCCTCAGATCTCCTGCCTATCATGGCCTTGCTGCCACCTTCAGGTGTCTTATCCAGGTGCGAGTTCCAGCCACTATGATTCAGGGGGTCTGTTTGCCCCTCAGGGAGGCCCTCCAGGTGGCTGGCCATGGTCTGCTCCAGCCAGAGGTCAGGCACACCGAGTCAGCTAAGGCTCTGTGTGGGTGACAAAGCTGGTGAGAACAATCCTTTCTGGCCACATGTCACACAGGTAAAAAAGGACCTGGGCACTTTCCCAGACTACAGGAGATTGAGGAGCTATGACAACTACGTGATATGCAGGTCCTGAGTTGGGCTGTGGACCATAAAAGGGTATTTGTGGGAGAAAAGGAAACATTATAACAAGACACTCCAATCACTCCATCACTTGGGAGTCATAAGGGTTTAGGTGAGGACATGAAGTAACAGGAGCTCCTGTTAATTGCCAGTGGGTCCAAAACAGCACTGCTGCCTTGGAGGGGCAGATGCTGTTACACACATGTGCAAGCTAGAAACTGTTCCTTGGCATTTACCCAAAGGAGTTGAGAACATGTGTCCACACAAAAACCTACACATGCATGTTTATAGCGGCTTTATTCACAGCCAAACCCTGGAGCAAACGAGATGCCACCCCTCTCCCACCCGGCCGGGAGCTGAGCCACACCCAAACAGCAGAATTCTGCTCAGTGCAAACCGCACCATGAGAAGGCATGGAGGAGCCTTAAACGTACACTACTAAGTGAAAGAAGCCAGTCTGAAAAGGCTACAGTCAGGGGTCCTCAAGCTTTTTAAACTGTCCCTTAGACTGTTGGAGGGCCTGACTGCGGGCCCCAGGACAAGTTGGATACTAAGCAGGACAGGCATTGGCGGCAAAAACACCCAGCGGGCTGGATAAATGTCCTAGGCGGGCTGCATGTGGCCCATGGGCCGTAGTTTGAGGATGCCTGGCAGGATTCCAGCTGTATCCCATTCTGGAAAAACCACTAGGCAGACTATACAACAGTGGTTGTCAGGGCTTCTGGGGAGAGAGGGATGAGCAGATGGAGCACAGAGGATTCTTAGGGCAGTGAGACTCCTCTGATAATATAGACTCATGAATCATAAACTTGTCTAAACCCTCAGAGTCATACCATACCAACAGTGAACTGTAAGGTAAATGATGACTCAGGGTGACATGAGGTGTCAGTACAGGTCCATCACTATGACCAAAGTTCTCTTCTGCTGAGAGACGTTGACATGGGGGAGGCTGTGCTGTATGCAGGCTGGAGATACGTGGAAACTATGTCCCTTCTGCTCAGTTTTGCTGTAAACCTTAAACTGCTCCAAAAAATAAAGTCTATTTTCTAAAAAAATGCAAAACCAAAAAAAAGTCTGGTGTGGGGCCTCCAGCTCTCCCTGGGACAGCCACTGTCTTCTGTGTCTTGACTGAACATCACAGAGAGCCTTAATCACTTCATGTCTGGCCATCAGCAGGTGTTCCCAGAGGCTTGAACCCAAACCTGGCCCTGAACATTCCCACACATTGATAAAGGTACCTAGGTTGTCACCCAAAACACTGAAAGAGGTTGGCCCTGGCCTTGAGCAGGTTCCCCAAACCCTCACATCACCTCCCTGCCGGCCTCCTAACAGTGGGCACACTGGGAGCAGGCCCTCATCTCTCACTGCCCACTGCCACAGCCCCTGTCAGCCCTCCTAATAAATGCTTTGGCCCAATTGCCCATAATTTCATGCTTTCTTTGGAATCCTAGCCAGCCCCATCTCAGCACAGTTTGGAGCACTCCCTCATGGGGACTCCTCTGCTGCAGTTTGGTGTTTGGCAGGACAGAACATACAGGAAGGACGAGAGCGGTACTTCTGTAGTGGGGGTGGGGAAGTGGCTTTAGACACAGGCAGACCCATGCACCCTCCTCACACCATAATTTAGGATAGCAACCCCCACCCAGGCTGAGGCCTGGAGGTCTTGTCTCCCTGCTCTGAGCAGATGAACAGAGAGAGGGTCTACGGCTAGGGGGAAGACAAGATCTGGCCCAGACATTGCGGGTCAGGTCACAGCCCATGCACAGGCCCCCTTACATCACTCTTTCCCTAGAGAGCTCCAACTGGGTGCCATAGCCCACCCCTCCATGGAAGAGCCAGAATGATATCCCCAGAGCACTTGATAGGCCCAGAAGAGAGTCCTAGAATGACATCTCACTGAGGTTCCCCAGAAGACACCTGTCCAGACCACCAAAGCACAAAGTCCACTCAGGGGGCTGAGGCTGCCTTTTCAGTGGAGGCTTTCTGTCTACCATGCAAAGCCTCTGACAACAGCTAAGGATCAAAGGAGTTGCAGAGGCAGAGAGCAAACCACCCCTGCCGACACGATCAGGACTCAGGCCCACAGGGCTCTCCCTAGGCACACCTACCTCCACCAAGCCTCTGGCCAAGCTGTCCCTAACCCTACATCCCTGCCAGGCACAGCTCATCCTCTGCCTTAGTGTTCTGACTTGAGGCAGCTGGGTGCTTCTGTGTTTCCTATTCTGCTTCAGGCCTGCTGTAGAGTGAATCCCTGCACAGGCTGGGCCTGGTGCTGTGCAGGACGGGATGGCACTGGCCACTGGCCTGAACTGGCCTGGCAGGTCGGACTCACCCACAGGGAGTTGGGCATCAGCGAGTGCAGCAGCAACAGGCGGTTCAGCTCCCGGGAGTACAGGCGGTACTGCTGGGCTAGGGCCTCTGGCACCGGGATGCCACCACCTGTGGGAACCGGCAAAGAGCAGAGATTAGAACAGGGCTACATCTCTACTACCACAAAATCTGGGAAAACATCCATCACTTGTTAAAAAGATAGTGTCATCCTTTTGACTGTTTGAAGGCAAATACTCCAACTTGATAGAAGAGGCTTTATTGGAGGGTGGAGTTTCTGTATATTGTCTTAAGGTTTTGATCTCACAGTTCTTCTATTGTGTTTACATATTGCCTTTTAATCATAAAATAATTCTAAAGTGTAAGTAAAGTTTAAGTTAAATGACCGCTCCTAGGAGTATACCCCCATGTCCAGCCCTGCACAGGCCCCGGATAGCATGTGCTTCCCCAGAAGCTTCCTCTCCCGCCCCCGCCGTCAGTAACCCCAGCTTCAGGCAGCCTCCCTTCTGTCCTGGTGAGCAGCTATTCCATGGGCAGCCCGGAAGAGGATATTAATAGAACATGGGGCAAGACTCCAATAAGGTCTTTAGATTAGTATTGTCAATGTCAATATCCTGGGGTCATGTAAGAAAATGTCCTTGTTTTTAGAAGATATACCCTAAATTATTTAAGGGTATCAAAAATGCTTTAGGAGAGAGAGAGAAAGAGGAGAAGGAGAGAATGTAAAGGAAAAGTGAAAATGTTACTGCTTGGGAATCCACAGGAATTCTTTCTACTATCTCACAACTTTTCTGTAAGTCTGAAATTATGTCAAAATAAAAAGATAAAAAAGAAAATATGGGACAGGAGCTCTGAGAGCACGAGGAGGGAGAGAAAGAGGTCTGGCCAGCATGACTGGTGCCGGCTGGGCAGGACTGCTGTCTCCGTAGGCCGGAAGCTGGGGCACAGGGGGTGGGCTGCAGGAACACGGGGACAAAGACAACTTCCACATTCACCAACAGAGGCAGTTGGAAAGTGACAGGCATCTCTGTAGACAAGGTGGATGTCATCAGAGTCAATATCTAGGACACACAAGTAAGTGAAAACAAAGCAGGGCCTACTCAATGGGTGTGATGTGGAAATTTTTAGTGTAGAAATTGCCCATCCACACACACTCACCTGGCACACTGTGTGCAGGGAAGGACATGCAGGGAGCAGGATCAGGAAGGAGAGAGGTTGTGTCTACCCTATGCCAGTTTGGGTTATCCAGCCTTTAACCACGGGCACAGCAATGGGAAATACCATACCGACAACAAACACCAGAATTCCCGGAGGGCTTGACCTCACCCTGTATCAGCTGCTGCTGCCCCTCTATGACCTGCTCACAGAGTTGCTGGTGCTGCTGGTAGCGCTGGAGCATAAAGTCCTTCTGGCAGAGCAGGCTCTCCCGGCGTAGGCTGCAGGCCTGCAGTGCCGTGTTCTCCACCTCCAGCTCATGCGCCCGGCATAGCAGCTGTAGCACCTCCCGTTGGGCCTCGCTGGTGACCCGCTCAGGCAGCAGCTCCTCCATCTGTGAGGCCTTTTGCTTTGCACTGGCCAGACGCTGCTCCAGCTCGGCCTGGCAGGGAAACTGAGAGGTCAGGGATTGTGGGGGCTCTGCTGGCCTGTGTCTGCTCCCTCCTGCATGCCAGGTGTGCAAACCCCTCTTGGGAAAACCAGCAGGTGAGCCACTCTGAGGACAGGCTGCCCTCGCCTTGCACAAGCCATGTCTTGTCTATTCTGAGTTCTAAGGTTTTGACATTGGGGCATGGTGACCTGCAGGGACTGCCTCTCCCAGGTTTTGCCAATTCCTAGAGATAATAGCTTTTGCAAATTCAAACCAACTAGGCCAGAACTCATAGCCCAACTAGCTGAGGCTCACGCTTCACCCTCATCACCCAGGACCTGGTCCAAGGCACCGTGGAACACCCCTGGGCCCAGAGTCTTCCAAAATCACTAAACCAGCCAATCCTAAACCACCCCACCCCATTGCTTTCATAAGAATAATGATCATGAAGAGTCCTCCAAGAGCATGCCACCCCCTACATTACAGACCTCTTGTCTGCAGCAAGGGCCTTGTCCTCAAGCCAAGCAGCAGGGAACCCTGATGCTGTTTGCCCCTGCAGGCCACAGGGAGCTCACCACCACATGGGACATGGCTGAAAGCCATTGAGATCCACCTGTGAGCCCATAACTACATTCAGGGCTCTCCAGAGAAACAACCATGTGTTTACTTGTCTGTATATGTGTGTGTTAGCTGATTGTAGATGTCAACTACACCTACCAAACATCTTCATACCAACACTTGGATTAGTGTGCGATTGAACCATTGGCCCTATGGCCTGGTCATGCTGACACAGAAAAGTAACCATCACACTGCATAACTCCACTGTGGCCGGGGGGCTGTGCAAACCCATCCCCTAAATCACATGCCCCAGGAATGGGTGAGATGACAGCAAGCAGTGCAACCTTCTTTTTCCTCTGGGGCAGAGAGGGTCCCCTTTGGGAAGAGAAGGCTCAGCTGTCATGGGGAGATCCTCCTCTTCTCTCCCAAAGCACTGCTCCCAGCCCCCTGCCCTACTGTGACCTCCCCAGCACCTCATAGTCACAGCCGTTATGGGACTGCCACACTGAATTGTAGACGTTTGTGTCTCTCCCACTAGATCCTGAGCTGAAGTCATAGAGTGTGTCTCCCCCATCTTTGTGTCTCTAGGGCTGAGCATTGAGCTGGACACTTAAAACATTGATTTGTTTTTGATTGTTAATTAATTAATTAGCTAACAGAACTCACCATTTGCATACTGCATTGTATACTGATATCTACTTTTAGCTCTTGAAGGTCATACTCTTACAGATGCACATTACTGGTTCAAGCAAAAGGCAGTTTTCTCATTTTTAAAGGTCAGAGGACTTTTGAAGTGAAATCGCATCATCTCCAAATTGCTGCAGACAGATGCGATGATGTTGAGAGGTTTCTGGTTTGGCTACATAGCTTTTAAGTGAAATAAATGCCGCCTGCTTTTAACAACATGACATCATCAGATATTTTTTGTGCTTGCCTGAAAATACACCTGCAAACACTTAACTAATGGGCTGAAATTGTATCCAGCTTCCCTGGCATTTTCCCCAAAGTGTCTGTCATGCGCCAGTTCTGTAATTTTTCTGAAGTGAGACTATTGGATAACTAGCAATTACATAAATAGCTCATATAAATAGCTAGTGCCTCTCAGAAAACAAAAATGTGAAAAACTTCCTTCTCCAGAGAGGAACCACAAGTGTGGGCTTCCTTCTGCTTGTCCCTGGTCCCGACACAATGTGTCCAAGACCAGACTCCGGACAGCCCAGAAAGAAGCCGCTGGGAGTCACTTTGCAAACTATGGAGCTACATGGGGTGTCACTGCAGAGGGATCTCGGGGAAGCTGGGGGCCTCAACATTCCATACACCACCAGAGAAGATGAAGCAAGAAAGGATCTCATGGATACCACACCACCACTCACGCTCCATTTCCGTGGTCACTGACCTCCACAGCTCCCTGGCATTGGTGCAACTCCATCAAGGAGGGGCATGGGCCAAGCTCTGCTCCTCCTGCCCTCTGGGGACTTGGGATAATTTACCTAGTCTCTCTGCACTTCAGCTTTCTCATCTATAAAATGGTTGTAATTGGCCATCCCCTGTGGAATGAGCCAATGTTCACCAAGTGCCTATACCGTGATCAATCAATGATGATCATTAGCAACTTTTAACACTGCTGTCGTTACCGTGAAGGCACTGGATCCACTCCCCCACCTTGAGGGCCGCTGTTTTCTGCTGCTCGGCTAACAGCAGGTTGACCTCCTCTCTGGCCAGAGCCACTTCAGGTGGCTCCGAGGATTCATCCACATCCCCATCAGCATTCACCAGCTCCTCATCCTTCTCCAGCTCTCCGCCAACCCTGGGGGCATGATAGTGGGTCTTTTCTCTTTCCCAGCTGTTGGGGAGGAAATACAGAGGGATCAGGGTATAGGCCACTCTGGGGCTGGGCATCCTGGCATCTCTAGTCTCTGAGCACTCTTAGCCTGGGTGACCTATACACAGGTATGGTCATGAAAATGGAGCAGAATTGGGTCTACCATATGATCTCTTATACATACATGCATACATATATATATGACATATATATTTTAAGGCATGACTAAAAACTAGAAGAAAGCTGGGCATGGTGGGTGGCTCATCCTGTAATCTTAGCACTCTGGGAGGCTGAGGCAGGTGGATTGCCTGAGCTCACTGGTTTGAGACCAGCCTGAGCAAGAGCAAGACCCTCATCTCTAAAAATAGTTGGGCATCGTGGCAGGTGCCTATACTCCCAGCTACTCAGAAGGCTGAGGCAAGAGGATCACTTGAGTTCAGGAGTTTGAGGTTGCTGTGAGCTATGACGCTATGGCACTCTACCCGGGGGACAAAGTGAGACTCTGTCTCAAAAATAGAATAAAATACAAAGATTGATAAACATTTGAGTCAGGATCAGAGCAATCAGGTGTGGAGCTCTGCAGCAGCCCCAGCCTCTGTCCCCAGAACACCCATGTCTATGGGAGAACTTGGCACCTCCTACATAAATGCACCCCCCACAGAGCCTCAGTTTCCTTAGCTATCAGGCTTGGATGACAACTACCCGTACACCTAGGTGTTCTGAGGATTGACTACACTGACTCTAGAGAGAGGGTCCTTATGGGGAGTGTGGAAGGAGCCTGAGCAGCAAATGCAGTTGGCAACTAGCTGGAAGGGATAAGATGTGAGCATGTTTCCTTTTATTTAGAATCCCTCTAATGTAAGTCTTGTGCTGTTTGTGCAATTTTTTTAAGAGAAGTAGGAAGGAAGAAGGAAGCAAGCGAGTAGAGGGGAGGAGAAATGGGGGAGAACCGTGAGCAGAAGGGAAGGAGGGAATGGACTTGAGCACAGTGCTGAGTATTGGGTTACCGACTAAGTGTGCTGGGCCTGTGTCCCTGTTGTCCCAGGGTAATTGTTAATAGCACTCCCTTTCACCCTAAACATGTCCAGGTGTGGATGGTCAGTCACAGTCAATCCCTTCATCCATGGTCACTCTGCCCTAAGCAAAAATGAATAAGGAGTAAAGGCACAACGGGAGAGAGAGCCCTGGCCTAGGAGATAGGCAAATCCACCATCCACTTTGGTAAAGGGGATTGATGCTTGCTAACCTGCCAGGGCTGGCCCTGGACACCAGACTATGAGAAAGAGAGAAATAAAAGGGACCTGGAGCAGCCTAGCTACAGGGGCAGTACAGCAGGGGACACGTGGGGTCAGTGACCTGCCTGGGAAGAGAGAGAGACCCTTTGGCCAGGCGGCAGAGGGTGGCTGGACAGCAGCAAGAAACAAGAGCGCCCACTAGTGGCCCCATCTGCTTCTCTGGGCTTCCTCTGCCCTGCTGGGGTGGACAGTGCTGGGGTCTGGTGCTGCGCAGCGGGAAGGCACACTCACTCTGCAATGGTCAGCAAATGGCGGGACATGTCAACGTGCAGCTCGATGTTGGTGTTCTCCAGCTCCACCAGGCTGCGGCGCATTTCCATTTGCTCCCTGAAGGCTGCGATGAGCTGGGCCCGAATCTTGTTCATCTGCTGGCGGCTGTCCTCCTCTGCATCATGCAGGGGAATTGTGACTACAGGAAAGAAAGGAGCTGGCTGCTGCAAGAACAGTGCCACCTACGCCAGGGCTGAACTCCACACTTGCCCACCAAAGTGGGGTCTGGCCCATGGAGGAGTTCAATACACTGGGTAGATGGTGGTGGATGGATGGGTAGATGGACGGATAGATGGGTAGGTGAATGAGTGGAAAGGTGAATGAATGGATTGGTGAGTAGATGAATTGATGAACAGGTGGGAGGCATGTGAATAAGTGAAGGAGGAATGGATAAGTGAATAAATGAATGGATAATAGATGAGTGGGTGAATACGGATGCACAGGTGGGTAGATGGGTGGATGGAAGGATGGGCAAGTGAATGGGAGAATGGATGGATGGATTTGTGAATGGATGATAGATGGGTGGGTGGATGGGTGGATAGATGAAAGGATAGTTGAACTGGTGGATAAATAAATTGGAGATATGGAAGAATTTAAACCGTTTCTTGGCCTGGTTTGGGGTCAGGTTTCCTGGATATGAGTTTCAGGGGCCCAAAGAGTGGTGAGGCTGGGCTCACTATTTCAGCTCAGACCTCACTTTCTCAGCACAGTGCTGTCAGACCCTCACTCTGGGTCCATCTGTCTGCCACCTACCTTCTCCTCCTGCTTAGTGTGTCTATACTTAGGTAACATTTTGGGATAAATGTTTCTTATCTTTCTTTCCTGCTGGAGTGAAACCATTCTTGTCTTCTGGTTTTCTGTTCTGTATCTAATCTGACCATCCTGCAAGCCACCTCCTACCACACACCATTCCTTCTCAGGTGCCCACCACATGGGCCTGCCTGCTGCTCCTGGAGCTCACCAAGCCCAGGGCCTTGGCATGTGTAGTCCCCTCTGCCACAGGCTCTGAACACAGACCTGTGGATAAAGCATTCTTTCCCTTGTTACGATGCTATCTCCTCAAAGAGGCCCTTCCACACCATGCAACTATGTGATGCCTCTTCCTGCCCTCCCTCGACCCCTGTCTCCTGCCCAGCATCATCTCCTGAGATCCTTACCTTCCTTGTTTGTGGTGTCGCTCCCATGGGAATGTGTGTTTGGGGCTGTCTGCATCCTACTCCCCTGTCACTCAGTACCTGAAACTGGGAGGTGCCTGATGAATGTAAGGTGTGTGAATATAGGAAGAGGTAGGATCCCGAGTCCCAGCTGTACGTGTGTGTATTTGTGCTTTAAATATGTAAACATGGCTGGGCAAGGTGGCTCACACCTGTAATTCTAGCACTCTTGGAGGCTGAGGTGGGTGGATTGCCTGAGCTTACTGGTCCAAGACCACCTGAGCAAGAGCAAGACCCTGTGTCTAAAAATAGCCAGGCGTTGTGGCAGGTGCTACAGTCCTAGCTTCTCGGGAGGCTAAGGCAAAAGAATCGCTTGAGTCCAAGAGTTTGAGGTTGCTGTGAGCTGTGATGCCACACAGCAGACAGATCATAACAGATCAGTACTGTACCCAGGGCAGGGTGACAAAATGAGACTCTGTCTCAAAAAAAAAAAAAGTATGTATGTACACATTTATGTGTGTCTGTATTTTTGCATGTATGTGTGAATGCATTTATGTGTGTATGTGTTTAAAAGACTGGAAGGAAATATAACAATAAATGCTGACAGTGGTTATCTCCAAAGTGTAGGAGTATAAATTAATTCTGTTTTCGTCTCTTTATACTTGACAATATTCTCCTGGTTTTGAATGATAAACATATTACAACTAAAATCAGGAAATATTTTTAAACATGAAGTATTTATACAGGTACTAAGGGAAGACACTTTAGTTATAAAAATTCAAATTATATATCAAAAGTTAAAAGGGGTCTTGACCATCTAATCACTCATTGCTTCAAACCCATTCTCCGGCACAAGTAAACATCACCACCATTTGTACCCTTCTGAATCTTTTTCTGTGTGGTTTTATACATAAATATGTATCTAGAGAGATACATGTATTTGGGGGGAGCCTGGGTTTGGCTTTGGGTTTTTCTATAAATAGACCAGACCTATTATTTTTCCACTTGCTTATCTCACCCAATGACACGTCTTAGAGGCCGTCACCAGCACACGTGGATCCACCTCATTCTGGATAATAGCTGCAGAGTCCACAAGGGGTGAGCCCCAGTCTGCTAATACCACCCCCCAAAGATGGGCACTTTGGGCTGTTCCAGTTGCACACACACCTCCCGGAACACATGGGTGTCTCTATGGTAGATTTGGAGGAGGGAATTGCTTGGGAACATTAAATTTTAACAGATGCTGTTCAATTGCCTTCCAGAGGAAACATACTAATTTACATTCCCAATAATAATGGGTTTGGGTTTTTTTTTTTTTAGACGCAGGCTCTTGTTATGTTGCCCAGGCTAGAACACAGTGACTATCAGACAGATCATGACTCACTGCAGTCTTGAATTACTGGCCCCAAGTGATCCTTTTGGTTCAGCCTCCAGAGTAGCTGGGAGACGGGCACATGCCACCGAGCCCTCAATAATGTAGCATCTAGACTCAATGCCTGTAGCTCAATGGTTAGGGCACCAGCCACATGCACCAGGGCTGGCGGGTTTGAACCTGGCCCAGCCCTGCTAAACAATGACAAAAAAAAAAACAGCCAGGCATTGTGGTGGGCGCCTGTAGTCCCAGCTACTTGGGATGCTGAGGCAAGAGAATCACTTAAGCCCAAGAGTTTGAGGTTGCTGTGAGCTATGACTCCAGGGCACTCTACTGAGGGCAACATAGTGAGACTCTGTTTCAAATAATAATAATAATATAGTATCTAAGGTTACCATTTACACACTTAATTTTATGTAATTTTTTTTAGCATGTTCTGCTCTGTCCTGGCAATTGAATATGATTTTACATTATCCATTTAATAAACATTTCATATTACCTGATATTTTAATTTCAGCTAGTTCAATAAGTGAAAATTGTTTCCATTTGTATCTCTCTGTTTCTGAATGCACTTGAGAATCTTTCAATTGTTTATTGGCCTCTAGGAATTCTTCTGTGAATTGCCTATTGATTGCCTGGCCCATTTAAAAATATTAGGCTGTTTGCTCTTTCTTATTTTTAGAAGTCCTTTATAAATGATGGCAAAACTTACTTTAATAGACCAAAAACTGTGTATGCATGTGCATGTATATGCATGTCTGCTTGGCTTGACTTTATTACACGTATTCTTAAGAGTACCTTTTAAACTTAGGAATGAATTTTATGATTTGTGGTGAAACTGTGGTAGGCTTTTAGACCTGCCAGGGAAGGCTAAATAAAACTGACTTGCTCAGGAGAAGAAACAAGAGAAACTGTTTAGTAGGTAAGGGGTTTTGCTATGGAGAGATGGAAATATTCTTGAGTAAGGTAGAGTGGTGGCAGCACAACAGTGGGGACATGTAAGTGCCATGGAATTATTCACCTTCAAATGATTCATTTTATGTTACAAGTTTTACTTCAATATATTTGAGTGTGTGTGTGAGAGAGAGAGAGAGTCTCACTCTGTAGTCAGACAAGAGTACGGTGGTATCATAGCTCACTGCAACCTCGAACTCTGGGGCTCAACCAATATTGCCACCTTGACCTCCCAAAGTGCTGGGATTATAGGCATGAGCCACCACACCCAGCCTTCAATAAATTTTTTAAAAAGGCATTAGAATGATTGAGGACCCTGTACTATCTCTGGAACTCTTTTGTAAATCCAAAATTATTCCGAGCTAAAAAGATTATTTTTTAAAAGGTTAATCTGGAAGGAAGAAAACACAAATATGAGCTTAAAAAGAAAAGAAGAAGGATGGTGCCCGTGGCTCAGTGGGCCGGCCATGGGCCATATACACCAAGGCTGGTGGGTTTGAACCTGGTCTGGGCCGGCTAAAACAACAATGACAACTGCAACAACAACAACAACAACAAATAGCCGGACATTGTGGTGAGCATTTGTGGTCCCAGCTACTTGGGAGGCTGAAGCAAGAGAATCACTTACGCCCAAGAGTTTGAGGTTGCTGTGAGCTGTGATGCCACACCATTCTACCCAGGGTGACAGCTTGAGACTCTGTCTCAAAAAGAAAGAAATAAAAGAAGAAAAGAGAACAAAAGCAGAAAAAAGGTGGGAAAAGGAAGTGAAAACGTATAAAAGAGCAGAGAAAACAATCCAGTCCCCACATCTTACAAGTGAGGGATGAAAGCCTGGGCAGGGGCACACAGGTGGTGGCCATGGCGGGGTTGCTCACGCACTCTCTGGATGCAGACACTTAGAGCCACAGCGCACGAAGCGCACAGGCAAGGACAAGAGATGGGGCTGAGGTGATGACGGCAGACCCCTGGGGTGGGAAGGGGCACCAAGGCTACTGGGCCCACATGAGACGCAGGATCCATGCTCAGCTCTACCTTGCGTATCCCGGACACTGGGTTCGCTTCTCTTCTCCTTCCCTTGCTTCTCCAGTTTTGACTTAAGGTGCTCGATCTCCCTGCGCAGGTCGGAGATGACATCCGTGTACTGCGCAATGCGGTAGGAGACATTCAACAGATTGCGCTTGACCTAGGAGAGCATGACATAGGGCTAAGGTCAGACCCAGAGGGGACAGCAGTAAATGCAAACTTGATTTTGTTACAAAAATCCAAATCAATTGCTCTTCAGCCTTAAAACGGAAAGAAATTCTACAACAGAGATTGACCTGCAGGACACTGTGCTCTGTGAATTAAGTCAGTCACAAAATGTCAAATCCTGCAAGATTCAACTCATATAATGTCCCTGGAGTCATCAAATCCAGAGAGACAGAATGTGGGAAAGTGGCTCCCAGGGGCTGGAGAGTGGTGCGGACAGAGCATCAGTTTAGGAAAATGCAAATGTTCCAGAGAAGATGGTGGAGATGATCGCATAACAATGAGTGTGCTTAGGGCCACTGAACTGTGCACTTAAAAATGGTTAGAATGGTAATTCTTATGTATATTAATAAAAAATAAATGATGGGGGTCTCG